TGGGTCTCTAAATCCACCGTAAAAAAAATAGTATATTTCGTACAGTGAGGTTTTGCCGAATCGATATCGGGTTTTAAGTTCGGGACGAAGTCGAGAACGTGAAACGATCGAGAGCTGCAAACCCATTTTGGCTCGTGGTACGAGCGCTATTTTTCACCCAAGTATGTTTTGCAATATAACGTCTCTCTTATTTCTGTAAAATATTTTGAGGAATCAGCAAAATCAAAAATAACAATAAATAGTTGTCTAGGCAGCTGTGACAAAAAACAAGTCTATTGCAATGCCATGGATACAGCTTGTGCATTTAATATACATTAATGTTTTAAGTAAATAGGCGAACAAGTGATTTTGCGGCCCTAGGGATGTAAACCCCTGCTCGGTTCCATATGACGATGACAGCTGGCATGGTCAGCAAAACGTAACTTTCAGCCACCAATATAAACCAGCTAAATGTATGTAAGTAAAACAGCTAAAAACATCATAGTGAGGTGAAAAATTCGTTACGCATACTTTTACATTACCATGAATTAATTATATGCATACAGAAAAAACGGAGTCATACTTATTGCGTATTTTAATGTAAACTAGTGGCTTGTAGGGACATAGTCCCTAAAAAGCTACGGAAAAGGAATTATTGTTGGAATATTTCAACAAACTCAGAATCAAATTATCTATATGTCAGGATAGGCCTAGATATCCCACTACAACATATCTTTTGTGCAAAAAAACAAAATAGTTTGTTGTTTGTCTTTGTTTGCTTTTGTTGATAACGTTATGTTCAATAAAGAATTTGAATGATTCCAGAGGTTTAACTGCTAAAGGCAGCAAACATGTTTATGAATAAATATTGGTTTATTAAGGTAGCTTTGGTTTTTTGGTTAATGCTGATAACAAGGCTTCCCCGATTGAAATACAGTATTGGAAATTGTCTTCGTCAAATAAGAAAAGGCAAAAAATTGTGTGTTGAGATACCCTACCCAGTTATTATTTCTAAGTCTATGCTAATTTTGTAAAGGTTTAACAAAATTATTCTTAAGTAAAGGCATCCCATTGACAGAACTTGGATCTAAATTTGTTTGTGATCAACATTAAAAAACCACTATTAGCCTAGTGTAAGTATGTGGTGTTAATGCTCCTAAAGGTGCGATTGATTTACATATTCTACCAAAAAAAGGGCCTAGTCAACGTCTAATTACTAACTATTTTGCGGCTAGTTAGGGTTCCATTACCCAGTTATCGAAACTAATCACGACATAAATATTTTTGGTTCGTTTAAATACCTGTACGAACCTACTTCATCTCTATTCCCAAATTGTTTTCTAAGAGTAACCGTTGAGGTTATTCCACTTCATACAAAATATTGATTAAACACTACAATAAATCTCAAATATAAATGTTAGAAAATTTAAAAAAAAATGGAATAAATCTTTTACATATGTTTTGAAATAAAAACAAAGAAGATCTTCTTTTAATCTTGAATCGTTTCTTAAATCTTGAAAACAATTTATTTCAACTTTGACATAACTAAAAAGTCTTGATTATTAAAGGTAACGTTTTCCCTTTATATAGTTGGTTTTATATAGTATACATTACATTGCAGAATTGACTGGCAAATGAGTAATCCAAATGTAAGCTTACTTGCTAATGATAAAATCACGATCAGCTGGATTGAAGTAAACAAAAATCAGCAGTAAATGCCTTCTAATGCTATTCTTATAGAGAACATTGTACGTTATATCTAATTTTGTGTTAAGATTTTGGGAATTTCACTATTTTTCCCGCCGTCACGGGATAAAGACCTTTAATTTGAGCCTTCTCACGTCGTTCTACGACTTCCCAGTCGCCCACAATTTTGACGCAAAGAATCGGCTTACGTAATTAATATATAGATAGAATAGATTTCTTGTATATTCCCATGAAACTGATAATTTACCCAGCACATTATTTTGGCCTTTATTCCAAGTATCTCAGTTCGTAAACCATACATACAATGTGACGATAAAATATCAACAAAATAGCATGTAGTTTTATGTAATCCTCACGACATTTCATTTGGTCCATTGACTTTAAATCCAATAATTGTAAAAATTATTGGAGCTTTGAAAAAAACTTCATATAAAATCCTTACACTAATAAAAGACGACGTCATGAGCGCGGGAAATGAGCTACAGCGGCTAGGGCATAGCCACATGAATACAGAACGGAATGAAGGAACTAGAACGGAGAACTGGCAACAGCGCACGCGAGAAGTAGGGGGGGCGCACACACCGCTCAAGCACTACAACGCATTAGTGGCATCCTGTCCACACACTGTTGATATATACCGATTTGTGGTATGGTGCCACAATTTAAAAACTGGAATGTTAGATGTTAAAATGGAGTGTTCATTAAACATATCGATGCAGACATGTTTCTACCACCTTCCTTCATCCACTGGTGGCCGCAGGTTGAAAGATGCCACAATTAGGTGTTTGCGAGTATTCGGTAAAACCCCGTATGTGTGTGTCTGGATGTGTACAGAGCTAGGGACTACACCTGTGGTCCGATTTCGATGAAATTTGGAATGTAGGTTCTAATTCATGGTATCTCTAGGTGTTTTTTTCATTATTTTGAAATTTTGATTTTTAATGGGGATTTTCCCATAAAAACCCATAAAAAACTGGAAAAATCGAATTTTCTCAAAAATGGCCCGAACGATTTCGATAAAAATTTAGTATGTTGTAGCCCTTTAAATTCTGAACAAAATGGTACAAATCCCATTTCTGTAAAAATTACGGTTCAAAAGTTATGGTAAATTATGTTATTTTCCCATAAAAACCCCATAAAATAACAAAAAATTATATTTTAGAAAAAATCCGGTTTTATTTAACATAGTATGTTATGGTCCTTACAACTTTCATAGTTTTTTAAATTTGTCAGAATTTGTATTTTTAATGGGGATTTTCCCATAAAACCCCATAAAATAACGGAAAAATAGGATTTTCCCAAAAACGGCCCGAACGATTTTGATACAAATTTAGTATGTCATAGTCCTTAATATTCTGAACAAAATGGTACAAATCCCGTTTCTGTAAAAATTACCGTTCAAAAGTTATTGCAGATTATGTTATTTTCCCATAAAACCCCGTAAAATAACGGGAAAATCGGATTTTCAAAAAATGGCCCGAACTATTTTGATAATAATTTTGTACATTATAATCCTTTCAATTATGATCAAAATTTTACCAATCCCATTACTGTATATTTACTCTCACCGCTTACACATGATAAAGGTTGTTGACAAACTTATGGGAGAAAGTATGTGTCAGAATGCTGATACCGTTTATTTAATACAGATATTGTCTGTAAGTCTGAATGTAAAGAAGGATTATTCAATTAAATTCATCATTTTATTATGATAGTTAAACAGGAGCCATTATCTGAAATTCTATCAAATCAAATCTTTATAATTATGTAAACACAAAATAGGCTACAGTGTATAGATAATGTCAAAAGAAGGCAGTGCAACATGTGATGCAGATTGTCAACAACAGATATGAATAGTGATGTAACATTTTAATTTCAAACCAAATTTGTAGTTTTTACGGTACTATTTTTTTTACCGGTGAAATTTTAAAATATTTGATCAATTTGGAAATTATATTATGGAAGAAAAACTAGTCTCTATCTGATTTGCGAATGGGATCACTTTAAAGCTACTGAAAGCGAGTGTAACAGTAGCTAGTTAAGGTGATGGCCTTTGTCAAGGCCAGCTGGCCTGTTCACACACATCTCACGTGGCATTGTACTTCAGAGCAGTTTGGCAAGCTCATCTCAGCCAAAAATATTATCCACCACGGATCCAATTGCAATAAACTCAACCAAAATATTGCAACACATTCGTATTTAAACTGATAGGATTGATGTATCTTATAACCTAAAAAATTTTGGAATAAAAATAAAATGATGTACCGGGATTAAAATAATTGTACAAGGGAAACCTTGTGCAAATTGCACATTTCAGGGTTCAAAACTTGTCTGCAAGGCAAAAAAATACAATTCATCTTTCGAAGAGTATGTTCATTAAGACAGTTAGGTGATTAAAACTACTGATTTAAAATAAATTACATTTTTTGATTGTAGATCTACATCATAAAGAGAGATATACTCAAATCATTTGATATGAACCTGATTCATCATATGTACCTAGTAAAGTTTGAGGGTTGGGGCAGCAAAAAAAGTGAATTTTAAGAATATCCATGAGGAACTTCAGTAATGTTAAAATTCTGATTTAATAACAATAAGGCAGTAATTTTAGTTTATTTTTTAATAGTAATCAAATTAAAAATTTTGTATAAACTTTAAGCAATTACTAAACAAAAGTTAGTTGTCTCCCAGCTTCAATAGTTAGGAGCGGGAATATTATGTAATAATTTTGCTAGCTCTTTGTAAACAACAATATTCTTCCTTATGCATGTGTATATTTAGTTGCCCGTATAATGAATACAACACTTGTTTGCTCAAAACATTCTTCCTTATCTTCGTCATGGGTTATTACAATATTTACAGCCGAGCTTTTACCTTGAAATTGTGTTCAAGAGCAAATAAGCCTGGTAAAGTAAACATTTTTTTTTAGTAAACTAACTTTCCTCTCCCTTACATGTCCCGAGGAGATTTCATTCAACAAATTAAAATTTTGCATTAACCACCTCAGATTTATGAGTTGCTTTTTGCCTTTATTGAGCAAAGACGAAACTATGATCTTAGGTCATCTGTTACGAAAAAGTTTAGAATCCTGTAGGTGGAAGTGGTGCTTTAGCTTTGTGGTTACGCTAGCAACTACTCCAGTATGCAGTTTTGCATACATAATACATATCGTAGTAGGAAGTAATCTTTTAGCATTATGTTGATAGCTCATAATGACTATCAATTATATTTATTTTTCTTAGCACCCTGAGAATTTTTAGTGACCATCAATTGATGTATTTGTTGATTATTTATTATTCGTGGTTTGATTTCAGCTTGTTGGACCATCAAACATTTGTTATGCCAGTGAACAATCCGAAGTAAACCCAACTAAACGACACATGGAGCTAAAAACTAGAAACGTGAGTTTTATAATAACTTGTTAGGATATAAGGTCAATTGGATAGGGCGGCAAGTATTCAAATACTGTACCGTAACTCACTGAGCGTATATAACTATCTTATCAAGCTAACTATAGACTGGACAATTGACTAATAAGTTACTTTAATCTAAAAATGGCGACCATACGAATGTAGGTTATTTATAGCTAGCTACCTACTTAAAGAAAAAAGTGTTTGTATGAATATTATTTTGCAATTAGTGCAGATTGTACAATGTTTTACAGATGGGCTGTGGGAACCAACATTTGGTGGTCATGAACATTCGGTCAAAATTCATGAAATGTAGAGATGATTTCCTTTAAAAACATTAAGTTATCCAACTGTTGTTCTATTAGTTTTCATTCTTGATGTCTGCAACATTAGCCTCCAAAAGGAATTCAAGATTAACCGTATGTTCTTCTCACTGACGTACAAAAGGTCAAGATTCTTCATTTAATACTATTACATCAGATAGTGCATTGAATTTTTTAGGCAAAAATTTATAAGCAAGGTTACAATTCTTTATCGGGTAGTTTTTTTTGTTTTTTTTTCAAACATAAAAACTCATGTCATGTCATATTTCAATTACAAATAGAAATTGATTGTATACTTGACTTATTCTGGATCAGGCGTTAAATGTATTTAACCTGTGAATATCAAGGAGAACGCTATTGATATGGAGGGACTTTGTTACTAAATCGAACATATTTCAGCTGACGTTCGGAAGCTTTATCGCAGTAGACGAGACTCTTAGCTACCAACCACATCCCGAGGACAAGACTAAAACTCTGCTGAAACAAGAGGCTGTGGTGACAGTGCAGGGGATCCCCCTCAACAGCTACATGGAGGACATCCTTACTAAGACCATCATGCTGAATGCTAACAAGGTTAGTCAAGGTCTGAGTAAAAAAATAACTGTCCGACACAACTAATTACACTCCTTGTAAACTATTGAGTATAGGACTACCCCTCTAATTCATCCCCTACTGGACCCAAAACTTGGCCGGAACAGTGAAAAGGTCGGATTATCTGAGGTGCAGCAAGTATGGGAGGTGTTCAATATTTTTAATCGATCGCCAAAGACGATGATGAGTTTTTCCATGACCGTGGGGTTTGTCAAGGATTTTTCCGCGATCGTGGAAGAGGATGATTATGTTCCCCATATTTTGCCTTGTTCTTAGGAGGCTAGATGATAATTTTTTCTGTTACCGAAGGTAGTGATGTAAAATATCTGGGTATTTAAAACTCGGGGTAAATACCCTGGGTATTTACCCGGGTAAATACCCAAAATCCATAAATACCCGGGTATTTTGGGTATTTATGAAATCAATTTAAATTTGTTTATATTTACCCCTAAATATGTTATTGTTATCACTACATGATAAATTAGGATAGCCTATAACACCTTTTACAGTAACTTGAAGCTTTGATAGTACCTTTTATTTAATGATTTAGCACTTTTTTTGTAAATAATATATAAAGTTTCTTAATAAGCATGGGGTTTCGTGTCTTAAATCGAGTAACATCAGTTAAATTTAACATAAAAAAAATAGGATATTAAAAAAGGCTGTGGCTATTTCAATTTTTATCATTTTATAAATTTATAACCATAACATAAACAGGCTGGGTGTGCAGGTGTGCAGTAATAAAACAAGCCTGTGATGCTACCTTTGATTGAGAATGCTAGAAACTAAACACTCCCTATGAAATGAAATCAAGACAACACCTCATCAGAGAAATAGTGAACCTAAACCTACTTTTACTGTTATTTAATTATGATAGTTAAAATTTCTATTGTATAAATGGCTTGGAAGGCTAGACAGACCTAAGCCTGATTGACATAGGCAGAATGGCAGAATACTAAAAGTAATTAAACTTTTCTGTGTTACCACTTAGTTGGAAACAATAATATATTTGGATAAACCTACTAAAAAAATGTAACTCCTGTTTTTTGGTCTAACTTAATATAATTTTGAAAGATTTATTGTGCTATAGATTCAAATGTTTTGTTTCACAAGTTTATGAAATTAGGTTTTTTTTATTTTGATACCATTGATACCAACAAAAGATCTAGAACAAAAATATTATTAAATCCTGCCATATCCTACAGATTGAATTTTAATTATTAAAGTTGTTTACACATAGGCCACTACTAGGTTAAATCTTCCTGTCATTCTTTCTAAATAATAATTATTACTTTACAAATTATTTTTCTTCAATTCCAATAAAATAAATTCATTTATCTATCATAGAAATTACAAAATCATAAGGAGTCAGGACCAGTGCAACCATGCGACCAGGGTATTATGCCGATAATGCTATATGCTCAGACCTGGGTATTTATGGCGATTATATCCATAAGTAAAATGCTAGTAGTGACCATATGAAATTTTGTTTAACACATTTTACTATCCTTACAGGGTAATAATTGCAAAACAACATCTAAATCTTCTCTAACTTTAATAAAAATTATAAATACCCAGTTTTTGTGTATTTACCCGGGCCTGGGGTAAAAACCCGGGTAAATACCCAATTTATATTTACCTACCCACTGGGTATTTACCCGACCCACATCACTAACCGAAGGAGATGTACTAGATTTGGGCGCGATTGCGGGGGATGGCGATAATGTTTCTGCAATTGTTAAAAAAGATGGTGATGTTCTTAAGACCGCGGGGTATTTAAACAACATTTTTTCTGTGATTGCAAGAGATAGTGTTGACTACTTGACCAAGGGAAATGGTCACTATATTATTGTGAGGGCATTGTCACCGATAGGCGAGGCACAGTCAGATCAAGCGAAGAGTCGTACTAGCTGTTGTTGGATTAGGCCTCTAGTGAGTTTAAACTGTACTGTGGAATCTCATACTATTTCCGTGTGGTGTTACTATACCATAGTGGGTCGAGACAACCACTTTTGCCGCTTCTGATTGTACTCTGAAAATACGCTCTAGGCTTTAGGGAGACCTGCATTTGACTGCACTTTCTTATTTTTTTAGTGGTAGGCATACTTCATCGTTTGTAAAGTCCTCACACGTACTGTGCACATTTCTTTGCTACCTCTTGTGTTAATTATTATAATCACTAATAGTGATGGTATGATCGGAAACCTGGAGCTCAGTGGGACTAGTATCGCTTCATCTTATTAGTACATATACAGTAGAGGCGTTTTTACTTTAGCAATACTCACATTAAGCTGTAGACCAAAAAAATCAAAGTTAGGATAACAGTAAAGTTCATACGAAGGAGAACCCCTGCACCTTAAAATCTATTAGATATATTCAAAGAGGTTGACATTTTGTTCTGCTGAAAAAAACTGTGACCTCTCTGAGTTTGCTTCCCTTCCACTTGGTGAAAATCCTTCTTTACTTCAAATTTAGAATTAAGTTCCCTCCCAATCCATCTGTCGATTTCTTAGGACAAGTCAATTGTAGAAATGTTATATTCTATATTTTTCTAATAATTTCTAATTGCAATACTCTTACCATGTTGAAGATTTGAGTCTTTGCCAAACTTGATTCACACGCTGTTCCCAAAACTCAGTACATGCTTCATTCGCTTGCCCAGTATGTTTCCTTTTACCCACAATTTAAATTATGTAGGCCTACTCTATTTTAAACTGTCTTATCTCATTATGAAATGGCCTCTGGATTGTCTGAATGAACTATTATAGGTTTAGATTACCTGTTTGCTGACAAAATTATCCTTGGTAGTACATAGACTAAAGCTGTTTTTTGCTTTTAAAAAAAAAGCACATCTTCAGGTCACATATGTCTTCCAAATGATCTGTCATGTGGAGCGTGTCGAGAAATTGATATAAAATGAGAAATACATTAAATGATTACAACACACAGGACAATACATTTTTAAAGAACTGGTCATTCAGACGCTGATTGGGCACGAGACATAGTGCCACTGGAAGGTAAGACCAATACATTCGTGACCTGAAGATTTGCTTTTTTTAAAACTTATCTATAATTAATACGCTACATGAAACTTTGTCGGTTGAACTCCTCCGCCATTTCTTAACCGAATTCATCCATTAACGTCTCATTGGAAAGAGCGGGTCACGTAGATTTGCAAACTGGCCTTACATTTTTGAAAAAATCCCTTTATCTCTGCCCCAACGGCTTTTAAAGTTCCCATGTTATCCTTATGAAGATCATAATTGTTTACATTTTGATCAGCTGTATAATTTAATTGCTGTTATTTATTTTTTAAATCAATGAAACACATTGGGTACATTTACTGATTTTGTTTATGGAACTGTTAGGTACGTAATCAATGAGTCGAGTCTTAAACTAATCGGAAACTATGACTTTTATTAGTTTTTAAATGAGTTATTTGTTTTTAAAGAACTACTTTACTTCTTTTCAATTGCTCGATTTCGAGCAACATGTACACTAGTAAATTATCAAACTATCACTAGTAAATTATCTTTTTATTTTTTCTTGTTTCACGTTTTCTCTAAAAAGTGGTGAGTTTTTTAAGCTTAATAGTTAATAGTGTCAAGTCTTAAAACTATACACATAATTTTGTATTTGTGTTTTTTTAGTAACATAACCTCAGCCTACACTTCCTAAAGTTGGTAATAAATTTCAGTCAATTGTATTTGAATTCCAAATATAAGTGATTCCAACTTGTCTGATGAATGGTTGCAAAATATTTTTAAAGCTATGCCAACATATACACTCAGTAAATGGGTATTAAAGATTAAAAGGCAGGCTTTTGAATAGAAGTACAATACCGAACCTTGGAATCTAAAATTGACAGTCTGTTAGTTTAGTTTACAATCCAGTTGAATTGTTAATCATCCCAAATATGAATTGCTGCAAATTATCTAAAATGTTGGCCATAATTCACGCCAATTCAATGATGCATTTCTCTATCAAAGACCAAGATTTGACATAGTAGAATATTTTCTTCTGATTGTACAGGGCCGGCAAGCTATTGAGTGGGTGATCGGCATCATTGACAAGGAGGTCACTGACCTGAAGCTGAGCGCAGCTAAGAGCACTGACGAGCTGAAGAAGTCACTGGAGAGTGCACGCAGATCTATGGACGAGTTCTCTACCTCCGCCAAGAAAACTCTGGACGACATCCACAACCTTACCAGCAGCACCAATATACCCGAGTTTTAGCATAATTTTATCCCCCGATTTTTCAATCTCGACACATTCAAGAAATTTTTAATTGTGATACATCTAAGTCATCTTTCAGTATTGATTCTGATGTTAGTTTTTCGACGTTTCTAATCCTTAGTATTCTATTCGCTGTTGATTTGTTAGAATAAAGTTATTTATTACCCCCGCTTCTTGATTCACAGCTCGCGTTACGAACATTATCCGTAGAGTAGATGCAGATGTGGCGGCGACGCACTGCTTGAATGTTTCCTTTGTAAGGAGAATCGTAGGTGTTTTCAGCTTGTCCGTTGGGATGAGGGATTGCCTTAGAATGTGGTGAGGAGTTATATTTTTGTGAACCCAAGTTCTATTGGGAGAAACGCTTTGAATGGTTGTCTGGGTGAACCAAAGATTTCAACCTGTTGTTGGTTATTGTTTTAAGTGCGGATAACTCCCTCTTGTTCGCTTGGTTCAGTCTTTAGATGTTTGGTGTGGTTTATAAATCATGCACGTGCAACACACACCTGTGTCTGTATCTATGTGTAAACACAATTACCAAACATGTTTTTCGTGCATCGTCAATACATACAGACTTGCAATATTCCAATGTTTACTAATTTTGCCAATGATGTGTTGCTAAAAATATAGCCATTCCAAACAGTTTCAATTAATTATTTTATAGTTTAGAGTGTTTTTAGTTCAGTCAAAAGTCCAGCTTGAGGTTTTTGAACGAGGGGGAGTTGACTGTAAATGCAGATAATTTAAAATTGCATATATCAGTGTGAAAGATATCTCAGGTTTCCTATTACAAATTTAAACTAGTGATGTCTAAAACCTTTTTGTGAAAAAAGCTACTTACTTAAAAACAAAGAGGAATGGTATCATTGTTATTGTATGTTAAAATTTTTACATTGTTGTAAAAAAATAATTAAGTTTAAATAATTTTAGTTTTGCCCTTACAGCAAATTAAAAATGTGTTTATATATATGCAAACAAAAATCACTGGCTGTTGTACCGATAAGTGTTTGATAATATTATTCTGCTTGAAATATTTTTGCAATTCAGGTCAAATTTAATGTGACATCACTGCTCACATTTTCACTTATAAAATTAGTAACTCTATTTTTACAATATAGTTTGTTATAACCGTATCTGATACTAGGCGATCTGTAGTTTTAAGACCTTTACATTCCTGTTATAACTCTTAAGATGCAATAAAGAAATTGATTTTGTTTGTTTCCACCGACGAGATGTTATTGTTATGATATTATGTATTTATTTTTTGTGCTTGTTCTTGTCATAATTTTGCTTCTAGTATTGCTTTTAGTGAAGTAACTAATTCGTGTCTAATTAATCATTACAATTTAATATTTAATACAACATAATATTACAACAGAGACTATTTTAATGTTAATTTTTGATGAAGAGATTTAAAAAGTAATCAAACTTTTAACTAGCTAGGATATAAATAAATAATTGTAGATATGTGAAATTCAAAAAGATTAAGTTAAGTCTTAGATATTTTTAGTTTTAAGTTTTGGTTAACTCGGAAGGGGCTTTCTGTAAATTGATTAATCGAAGATAAGTGAATGTAATACTTTTAAAAACAACAGTGATGTTTTTTAAAACAGCCAAAACCTACACTTTAAACCATACCATAATATTTTTAAATAATTCTTTCAGTGAAATATAATAACTAGTCAATCAAAGGGAAGGTCTGAAAATTTAAAAATTCTGATGACAATTTATGGTTAGCCCTTTATTAATTACAGAAACTCAGTTTTTAGTGATGAATGACAGTAACACTAAAAGAGACTATAAACATACTGAATTGGTTTTTGTGCCATTTTTTGTCAATAAATTACTTATTAGTTTCCTCATCATGGAGTAATTTATTTCCTTCATTTTATACTCAATCGAAGGTGTACATAGTTGTGAGATACATAAAAGACCCCTGATATGTATCATTGAGACATTTTCTGACTCACAGTCTATATTTTTAATTGTAGACTAGCTGTAACCCACTAGCTTTGCCCCGTTTAACTTCTTAATTTTCAAGATGATCTCGTTCGCATGGCTCAATCACGTCCTGGTTGAAGTTCGTTCGCTACGCTCACTCACCTTTAGGTTGGAGCTCGTTCGCTACGCTCACTCGCCTTTAGGTTGGAGCTCGTTCGCTACGCTCACTCACCTTTAAGTTGGAGATCGTTCACTGCGCTCACTTGCCTTCAGGTTGAAGTTCGTTCGCTATGCTCACTCACCTTTTGGTTGCAAATTAGCTGTTGTCATAAATGTAAAAGAAATAATAGTGCTGCACCCTGTTGGTAATCCTTGTAACTTTAATGCTATTGAACATCATAGAACAGAACCAACTTGTTTAATTGAAACAGCTGTTAAGATTCATTAATTCCATTTCTCATAAGGTTAACATGGGAAACTCCAGAGCCACTGGGGCGAAGCCGACGGATCACGAAATTGATGGTGTATAAACCTATTCCATGAAATTCTACACGTATGTACCAAGTTTCGTGGCAATCGGTTCAGCGGTGTCTGAGTTTATGACTGCCAAATATATATATATATATATATATATATATATATACAAACATATAGATTAAGGAGAATTGCAGCTATCTTACCTCGGAGATGAAATACACAATATTTTGTCCCCTGAGGGACTTTGTCAAAGTAGAGAAAGTTCTTCACAAAGTCGCTCAGGGGATGAAATATTTTATGTTCATTGTCTCTTTAGTATGTTCTATGGCCTACCTGAACTTCTCCAAGGCAAGCTAGATCCTCCTTATTCTAAAATTCAAAATCCTTGGCTAGGGCCTTCCCTTGAACCAATCTCACAGCCTATATTGTTTTCCATTTAGTGTGAGTTGTTAATTGGAAACCTATCTACATCCCCACTTCCTACAAAATCCAGTACAGTTGTAGATTTGAATGATTGAAGAGGAAATCAACCCTCTTTTAAAATGTGAATTGAACCCTACGGTTGAATTTCTGTAAAAGTCTAATGAAATTCATTACCAGCTGACAGTTTTGTATGGGTGAAAAAAATTGGTTCAAGGTTTTCGGAGAAGATCAGCTAAATTTTTAAGGGGAGGTTGCCCATAGGTAGGTCACTATTCAGTGTGTGATGAAATAGTGACAAAAGTTGCAGGAACTTTGCTTGCAGTTTTGAATTGAGGTGCGGCTTATCTCAACAGAACATACTCAATGGGGGCGTAGACTTTTCCTTTTATCCTTAGTGGCATCTAACACAAGACAAGACACTTGACTATTGCATAGAAGTGGATCAATTGATTGGAATAGTCGTGAGGGAAGTAGGGAACCCAGTAGTCAGATTTGAACTAACTCGTCCCCTCCACTTAGGATCACCCTTTTTATGGTAAAAAGTTATTTTTTTCTGCTATTTGAAGTTTTATGAAAAAATCAAAGGTGTATAAATAAAAATATTTTGTTACTTTGAACCAATTTAATTTAAAAGAAAGTAGAAAATGTTTACATGAATTATACGTTTAGCAACCCGGAAATCTTTACTTAAAAATCACACACCTTCAGCTGCTACATCAAGTTTCTTGAAGAACCAGTGGAAAATTCCGAGAATTGTGAATGACATGCCAAGTGGGAAAATGGACGCTTTAGCCCAAGCCATCAAACTGAAAAATAAATTGATTAAACCTTAAAAACATCAGGATTTTTGATAAAACTGAATAACCTAGTTTAACACTATACCATTGACTATTGAAATTGATAGAACTAGAAATTTCATTCCTGTGTTAAATTGGTCACTAACTTATTAATAAAAATGAACTTAAGTTGAATTGAGCACCAACAGAATGTGCTGATGTAAATTACTAATTTCTGTTAAATACGCCAAATGTTTTGCCAAAATTCGTCAAACGATTTGTACGTTGTAAGCTATAGCGGCTTTTATGTCACATATACCATTTCCGTAACAAAACCTAAAGAAGTAAATCCAGTTGTAGACTGTAGTGCACTCTGTGAGTGGCTTATTCATTTACATTTTTTTGTAAACAAAATTTACCACAGCCAGTCTATGAAGGTGGAATGTCCACTTTAACATGCCAAGTTAATGGTTACACTAAAGTGGTTTAAAACGATTAGGGTAGCGTTCTTGAAATTCCACTATTTGAATTTGGAAAACAAAATTACTTAAAATATAATTCGCTCTAGGAACTAGGAAAAAAATATTTACTCATTGGCGTCATCGTAGACGTAGAACGGCTCTGGCAGTGGAAGAAGACCACTTTCTACAATGTAGACGTTTTTCACCGGACGATCATCTTCGTATGTTTTCAATCCCTCTATTTTATGTATGATATCCATTCCTTCCGTTACCTAAAAAAAATATCCAAGAAGAAAATGAAATTCTCAATAAAGTAGGTGTGAACTATAGCAATAAATATGGAAGGTACACCCACAGAAGCAAACATGAACACTAAGTAAATTTCCAGTATCAGTTTTAGCAATGCAATTAGAGGAAGTTTTTAGCGCCGTCCTGACTTTTTAGTTACCTTGTTTTAAAGAACTGTTTAACTAAGTATATTTTACTTTTGATAAAAAAAAATATAGTCCCCTAGTTGAAGTTTTAAATCCCTTTTTTGATACCGTTAAGTATAAAGATAGGTTTTTCTGTCTTCTCCTTTGTTTACTGACCATGTTTTTGGTTAATACTGATTATAGTACAACTTAATAAATGATACATATTTTAATGAGGCTCATTGTGCTGTGCAAGTACTAATGGTCCCGTAAGGATACTATTTCTTAAATGGTTTGAGTAAAAAAATCCTTGTCTTCATCTCATTTTTTTTTAAATATTTACATAGGCCTATATGCGAAACAATAAAAAAAGTTTCATATTATGCATGTTATAATACACAAAAATTAAATGTAACATACAGTAGTTGATTTCTAACAAGGAATGATGAAACCTGTTTATTTACTTACTCTGAGAGTTAGGTAATCTTCAATCAATAATGTGTAAACCCTTACAAGTGCAAGCCAGCATTGTAACAAGAATGTATTTGTTTCATTTTTGCTGAACCACATTTAAACAAAAAATGCCACTTACCAATTCATTAATGGTAATCTTCCATTACTTAACAAATTGTTAGCAGTTCTGATTTAATAATTTTAAGGCGTAACTCAGTAAGTTATTTACAATCCTAATTCAAACAAATTCCTTCCGCATTTAATTAAAATATATGAGATTTGGAAGATTCAGAAATCTTTCAAATTGATGGAAAATTTCAAAATTTTTGTGTATAAAAGGTTTATTGTCTTTAAAACGTGTGATTAATAGTCTGAAGACTCTCTTTTTGATACACGTTTCAAAAATGGAGGCAAAGTTGTATGAAGAAAAGGGAAAAGCAAAGGTTTGATGGAGATATAGGAGGTTTAAGAGGTTTGCATGTTTAAAATCATATGTATTCTTTTTTTCTTACAAGCTTTGGCTCGTGTATGGTACATGTCCAGCAAATCTACCACATCTCTGCCATGGAGTCAAAGTACGTCATACCGTTAAATTATCTGGTTTTTGACTTTTATGCAGGTGCTATGAACTATTTTTTGGTCATATTCCATCACTCTTGAAGCTACTAACTAATTCACACACACAAATTGTTCCATTGTTTACATTTGTAAGTTAGCTCCCAAAATATCTTCCACCTACTAGTTTTAATTGATATTAAACAAACAGCTGTTACCCATGTATCTGCTCTTCAGTATTTGGTATGTTTTGAATGTGTTTGGATGGAGTTAACTGTGAATTGTTGGGTATTGAAAATGGTTTTTAAATTATGATAAATTTCCTTACCCTTCCGAACACTACATGCTTGCCATCCAGCCAGGGTGTTGGTTGAGTGATTATGAAAAACTGGCAGCCATTTGAGTTTGGACCTGTGTACAAATAGAGTATAAAATAGAATATATAAGAAATGTAGAAGCAGATAAACTAAACAAACGACCAAACGTGGTAGGCACATTACAGTACTTTAAAACAGACATTTGGAGTTGGCTCAAGAAAATGAAAATTTGTTCAGTATGCAGGTTTGCTGAAACCAGGATCTACTGTATTTCTGTATTCTAACACTATCGAGATGAAACCTCTACTACCATTTTATTAAGTATTTAGATTGTTGCAAAAACCCTTGTGCGAGATTAAGGAGAAACTAATAAAGAATTTTTTTTCTGATTCACATCTATATAAATGATATCAAGATAGTATTGATCAATTTAATTAATATGAACCTGAATTACCTGAAATTAATTCCTGAAATTAGCTCACCTGAATTAGCCATGCTTACAAAGCCTGCGGCTGTATGTTTCACGACAAAGTTTTCATCTTTGAAGTGTTTTCCAAAAATACTCACAATCCCAAGACCATCTCCCGACACTACGTCACCACCTGAAAAACAAAATCAATCAAATACTTTTGTCTCACCAGAGGTGCATCCTGCCAGTTGAAAATGGAGGCTACTTTCAAATAATTTAATGGAGTGATACAGCCATAACCTTTGGGCTGGGAGTATGAAATCGTCCCCAGGAACAATTTTGAATTTAATAACAGCAAAGCATTTCAGGACAATCTGGAGACGTAACGTAAAATACAAATACTTAGGGTAAAATTCAAGCCTAAAAAATTGAGTAAAAATGCCTTCTTCTTCGTTTTTATTTTTTTAGCAGCCCCAACTGCCGTCTAACAAGGCTGTTGATTAGCGAGTTTTTGATGCTTTAATTATCTGAACACGTTATAAAGGGAATAATTACCATACCTTGAACCATGAAGTTCCTGATGACTCTATGAAATGGGGTGTTGTTCCCATACTTCCGCCCTTTGACTCCATCTGAAGCAAGGGCTTTGAAGTTTTTGACGGTTTTTGGTACAACTTCTCCAAAAAGCGCAACAACTATTCTACCCTCCACATGGCCTCCGATGCTGACGTCGAAATACACCAGATCCGTCACCTTGTACTTCTCCGTCTGGAAATTGATTTAAAACTACATATGGTTAGATGTTTGGTTAGAGGGGTTAAGTAATGTCATTGATTTAGAAGTAGCGATATATCATCAATGGGGCTGATGATGCTGATGTAGCCAGTTGTAATAAAACTAGAGGTCGTCCAGTGGTCGAAAACCCGACCAAAATTATGTAATGTACAGACCTCTATATTCACCCCATGCTGTAAATAAAACATGTGATTGGAATTTCTTCAATCTGTTTTGATTTTCCGTTTATATTTCTTTGTTATTTCGTCACCATCATGGCAACCCATAAGACCCATGTTAATTTTTTGAAATTTCAAATTCATTTTTTGTGCTTATTTTTGAGCCCATTTAAATTTATAAAGGGGTTCTGCACATCTACAGGAAAATATCTTTCTAACAGTATGCATAGATTTTCCCTGCAATGCACACGAGCTGAGAAAAAAGGTTTTAAAGAAACATGCTTGCCTATTAATATATACATACAAGTTAAATAAGGTGCTGGGTATGCCAATTGTACTTATTTTTATATATTTTATGTTTTTAAATAAGAAGTATCTGGCAGTTTTTTAATTTGATTGAAATAGCAAATAATCTAACTTACATGCACACCAAAAATGTAGGGTGTGTTACTCCAGGTACTTTTGATTAAATACGTACCTAATGGACTAATTGTGCAAATTAAAATAACGACGTTCATAATTTAGTTTTAACTGGCTTGAATGTATGAAAGTTAATTTGATTGTGTTTACTCTCAACTTTAGAAAACTCCTCCACGAAAACCACAAATACAAATTATATTTATTTACCTAGAGCATTGTGCTATCAAAACTGTTCATTCCTTATGCTGCTTATTTTCTATCCAATTAAATTTCATCATCCAGAAGTCAATTAGGTTTAGGTTTTTTTTTTCTTTTGTCCTAGGACGCTAGGCACGAGCCTGGGATTGTTTTTCACATTACTTCAGGCTAGATCTAGGGGTTGCGGCATTATCACTTAGATAAAATCCATTGGTGACTTGACGGGGATCGAACCCGGGACCTCAGGGACTGAAGTCCTGCGCTCTAACCACTACACCAGCTCGCCCCCCGAAGTCAATTAGGTATACAGCTCATTGTTTAAAAGTTTATCAAATCTGGACTTACACGCACACTCGATCGGTTCACAAAATGCCAAAATGATTAAGAATTGCTTGTCATTTAACTCTGTAGAAAATTTAGAAACCTTAAACAATTAATGTTACTAATTTTAAATCTAATGAATGCAGGTGTTAGTGAATCGTTGTTCGTTCAACAATTGTACAGTAAAAGGATATAACATTTTTTCACCATGGCTCCCTAAATAGATATTTTATTATTAATTGTATGTGAAAGCGGCAGGGCTTTGAAACATCAAACATTATATTCATACTCACACATTGGCCATAAGTAGACAGCAGTAACAGCAGTACAGCCCTAACAGTACGGGACATTGCTACATACTGGTATAATCTAGTTAGGCTAAGACCAAGGGGGTGGCATGTATCAGCTGATTTGGATTTATAACCTTGCCTACCTTGCCTTTTAACCCTATTTACCTTTGAATTTTGACATATGAAATAGGGTCGTTGCTCCAAAATACCAATATTTATCTTTTTTAACTTATATCCTCCACATTAAGTGGTAACTCTAATTAACAGCACATGTTAAAAATAGTGTTTGTTTTACACAACCCAAATTTAAAGTGGCTACATAGAGTCACTATTTAGATACAAAATAAGCTCATAAATTGGCGACCCTGCTTTCTCTACTTCATTACCGATTAGCTTGTATGAATTTTAGCTTTGTTGTTTTCACGGTGTGTTATTCTTAATTTATTTTAAGTAAGACTCTACATGTTTTCTTTCTCTGAAACAAAATCAATGTTTAAGATTGATGATGAACATAAGGAAAAATAAGTAGGGGTAATGTATTTATAATGTTGAATATTGTAACCCAACTCATCTATTATAGTCTGGATTAGTGATGGACCATCATATGTTTTTACATTTTACATATGCAGTTGTTTACAAACTATAATTCTGTGTTGCGTTGTGTTTGTAAGAAAATAAAAGAGTTTACAACAATTTATTCTTTCATTAACTTTAATTTCACCAACGTTTATACTATCCGTAGTTGATTTATTAGGTACTGTACTGGAATCCCATCTGAACAGTTGATTTTTGTCTTTGTATGAAACGAATGATTTTGACTGTACGATACACGTTGATCTTGCAAAAACATCGTGAGGAGTCATATTCACAATTCTCAATAACACTAAACCTTGTAGACAAAAATGTTGAAATGCATATCAGCTGATCGTAATGAATTAAAGCAATTAGAACTGCCAACTTATGAGCATGATTTTACACTAAACAGTAAATTACTGTACTTGTAATTTGCGTTAAAAATAAAAAAAATAAACACCATGTACGAGTATATTTATTTGTATTTATTGAAAATAATACATATATTTATTTTTATATCAATCAATCAAAATAACTTTCATATTGCACATTTTGTACAGAATGGAGTCAGTTATAAAAAACACAATAATTAACAGTCTTAAGTTTAATATTGTTATTACCAAAAAATCAAATTTCAGAAATTTTGAAAAAATCTTCTAATTTATAAAAGAATAGTTGGTGAGAAATAATTTCAAACGTTTTTTAAATGAACGAAAATTAGTTATATTTTTTATATTGTCAGGTAAGCTATTGAAATATTTAACACCACTAGAGGGGATTTTTCGTAAACCGATACCAACCACAATTACAATTTACCATAATCTAAACATTTTTATCATAAATTTATTGACAAGCCGAAGCTCGAAGTTCCTTAGTATCATTCGATGCAATACCCGCTGTACAGAGTTACAGAGTGCAGTATCTGAATCACGTTTTGAGAATTGCAGGCGCTACTTGCTTATAGGTACAGGAAGAACCGAAACTCTCACAGGCTTCATCGTTCCACTATCCATTTATTTTTCACTGATGACAATTAGATACTGAAAAGTAAAATATGGCAAATTTTTCCATTAGATGAAAAAATTTAATTTGTCATTTTTGCAAAACGTTTAATTGATGACGTTTTCTAGCAGCTTAAATCGATATGGCGGTCAATTACGATGTGAAAAATGTCAAAAAAAAACTGGTAAACAACAAAATTTTCTGGCGTAGATTAAGATATAGGTCATATAAATGTCAATTGCCACATAGATCAACAAATAAAGTACTGTATCTATTTTAGTTACTTTTTAACATACCGAAACAATCTACTTTTTGCAATCCCATTTTCAAGAACTTGAATTATACACCTGTTGTCCGATAGCTCGTGTGTGTAAATATTTTCAGAAAATCAAATCAAATGGAAGAAAACCCAATCACATGTTTTATTTACAGTGAGAGGTGAAAATAGAGAAGTCTGTACATTACATATTTTTGGCCAAGTTGTCGATCACTGGACGATCTCTAGTGATTATAATTATATTGGGAACTTATACTTTTATGTATGTCTGTATGTGTTTCATTTCAAAAAAAATATTTCTAGAAATTGCACCATCATAAAGTGTTAATCTACATCAAATATAAAAACAGTTATTTTACACTGATATTTATACAAATTCAAAATTTAAAATTGATTTTTGCTTTAGGGTCACCTGTTCAGTCTAGGTACCCTCCCGGGGTTTGAGGTTGACATCTACAGACTACTAGTAGGGTTGATCTTTACTGACTAGGGGTCCATTAGAAGTTGTAGGTTGACCTGTACAGTCTAGGGGCCCACAAGGAGTGTCATGGTGAACTATACAGTCTAGGGGCCCACCAGGAGTTTCATGGTGACCTGTACAGTCTAGGGGCCCTCTAGGAGTTTCATGGTGAACTATACAGTCTGGGGGCCCACCAGGAGTTTCATGGTGACCTGTACAGTCTAGGGGCCCACCAGGAGTTTCATGGTGACCTGTACAGTCTAGGGGGCCCTCTAGGAGTTTCATGGTGAACTATACAGTCTAGGGGCCCACCAGGAGTGTCATGGTGACCTGTACAGTCTAGGGGCCCACCAGGAGTGTCATCGTGAACTGTACAGTCTAGGGGCCCACCAGGAGTGTCATGGTGACCTGTACAGTCTATGGGCCCATCAGGAGTGTCATGGTGAACTGTACAGTCTAGGGGCCCACCAGGAATGTCATGGTGACCTTTACAGTCTATGGGCCCATCAGGAGTGTCATGGTGAACTGTACAGTCTAGGGGCCCACCAGGAGTGTCATGGTGACCTTTACAGTCTAGGGGCCCACCAGGAGTTTCAAGGTGAACTGTACAGTCAAGGGGCCCACCAGGAGTGTCATGGTGAACTGTACAGTCTAGGGGCCCACCAGGAGTGTCATGGTGACCTTTACCGTCTAGGGGCCCATCAGGAGTGTCATGGTGAACTGTACAGTCTAGGGGCCCACCAGGAGTGTCATGGTGACCTTTACAGTCTAGGGGCCCACCAGGAGTTTCAAGGTGAACTGTACAGTCAAGGGGCCCACCAGGAGTGTCATGGTGACCTGTACAGTCTAGGGGCCTGCGGGCTTGACACATCTCTCGCAAATCAATTACTCCACCTCCTAGAGATGGTCACGAGGATGATTACAGTGTGACGATCCGAGATCGCGCCATCTGATAACAGCCACTCTCTCTCGCTCTGCACTCTGGAGGGCCACCTCCGACACTTCGTGTGAACTGACTACAGACTACGGTTAGTAAGTTGTTTACGGTTAACAAAGCGTGTTGTGGTGCATAAGTCTTAGTTCACGGTATTACCTTAGTATTACTGAAACTAGTTTCTATATTTTGAATCTAAGTTATTACTGCGAATTTCAATTTAAGTAGACAGCATGTTTTAAGCGTTATTGTTCTTCAAGTAGTATCGATGAAAACAACTCATTCTGATCCATCCGACGTCACCAAAATAATCTAAATCAGTAAAATTAGTGATAAACCTATAACACTCCATCATGGCAAAAGTATGAATGCATAATTATTTAGGTTTCCAAGTATGAGTTGGACCCATTCAAAATACTCATGGGCTACACATTAGTATTTTTGTGCAGAAGGCTTAACAGGTCATATTGAATTACGTAACGGAGTAGAATGACGTCATACCCGTACGTGACGTGTCAAGTGCACGTTGTGACTTGAAGCCCAGGGCCACCACGACATGATGGAGTCAAGACGTCAGGAGCCGAGACCAGCTGTGTCCTAAGCCCAACTGATGGTCTTTGAAATAACTGACGATACGCGTGTAGCGAGGGTGACGTATATGCAGGTCCCGTTAGTTTGAATTGTCGTTTCATTTGCTATCTATAATGATAATTTATTTTCGCAAATAAGCCTCGTTTCGCATATTCGCCTAAGTTTGATCGCTGAACGCTGGTTTGGAAGGCCAATGCGGAACTCATCTCATGTGACGATACGCAAATTTTATTTACTTCAAATTGTTTATCCAACCAAAATAGTTTTCTTGGACAAAATAAAAACATAATTTAAAACACGAAATTATTTGGTGATCGGCAACTTTGATTTTAAATGTGTCAAAATTGACGTGTGAAATATAAAAAAAGTTGGTCTTGTGCCCTAGCCTAACTAGATCTATAATCTGGTACCCAGATCTAGCCGCCGGTCGTCCCATGATGTCCCCCATTACAGACAGATGCCCGCCCCAGGTCAGAATGGTGGGTGGCGATCATATGATTATAGACAGGTGTGAAAGTGATTCTGAACGTGCCAGTATAAACAATGTGTCTGCCCGTGATCGGTTGCCTCCTACTTTATTGGACCCCGAATTGCCGGTCCAACCCTCCCAATTCCACTTTTGCTTTCTTTGCAGCCGGAAGGAGAAATTGAGGCGCAAAGTGGCTTGGACGGTGTTTATCTGTTGGAAGGGCACTTCTAGTTCGTGATTCTGAAGAAGTTGTTTTTGTTGATGTGGTAAAATATGTTTGTGTCAAGTAGTAGGGGAAAATTAGATGTTAAGTGAAATAACCACCTGTTTCAGAACTTTACCACAGAACGCAACTTGGTCCACGGTCAGTTCTGTGACATACAAGAGTCGCAAATAAACTTTTCTCATCAGTGACCACTACTTTGGTCTTCCAAGCAAAGGACCTCTTACTGATTACAGCTCTGCTTAAGAAAATTAAGTGATCTCATCCAGGCCATTCAACTTTCGGAGCATCTCATTGGCCCTCCTGAAAACATTTTGATCTGTTCACTGACCCCCTGAATTTCTAAAGTTAAGTAATTTTAATTGACCCACCCAAGTCCTTTAAGTCATAATGCACTTAATTTACTCTAACGTACATTTGTTAACTAATGGCAATCGTTGCTAGACTCCACTCAAATCCACCCAGTTGTAATGTAGTCTTCCAAATAAAGGAACTCCTAATCAACTCTTACCGCTGACTCAAAGTTAAGATATTCCAGGTTTAAAGTAATATTGCTCAAGCTGATCCCCTCCCGGGTCTTACAGGAGACATAACACATAACCGACCCTATCCCAGGTCTTCCAAGACACAGACCTCCTAACTGTCCCTTCCCAGGTCTTCCAAGACACATACCTCCTAACTGACCCTCTCACAGATCTTCCAAGACACAGACCTCCTAACTGACCCTATCCAAGGTCTTCCAAGACAGAGAACGCCTAACTGACCATCTCCCAAGTCATGTAAGATTCAAAACTCTTAACTGATACTCTCTCAGGTCTTCCAACAAAAAACCTCCTAACTGACCCTCTCCCAGGTCTTCAAAGACATAGACCTCCTAACTGACCCTCTCACAGGCCTTCCAAGATACAGAACTCCTAACTGATACTCTCCCAGGTCTTGCAGAAGGCACCATCCCAAACAGACCCTCTCCCAAGTCTTCTAAGATTCAAAACTCCCAACCAATCCTCTCCCAGGTCTTCTAAGAATCAAAAATCTTAACTGATACTCTCTCAGGTCTTCTAAGTTACAGCACCCCAAACTGACCCTCTTCCAGGTCTTCCAAGATACAGAACTCCTAACTGCTACTCTCATAGGTTTTCCTAGTTACAGCACCCCAAACGGACCCTCTCACAGGTCTTCCAAGATACAGAACTCCTAACTGACCCTCTCTCAAGTCTTCCAAGATACAGAACTCCTAACTGTACTCTCACAGGTATTCCTAGTTACAGCATCCCAAACTGACCCTCTCCCAGGTCTTCCAAGATACAGAACTCCTAACTGATACTCTCACAGGTTTTCCTAGTTATAGCATCCCAAACTGACCCTCTCCCAAGTCTTCCAAGATACAGAACTCCTAACTGATCCTCTCCCAGGTCTTGCAGAAGACACCATCCCAAACTGACCCTCTCCCAAGTCTTCTAAGATACAGAACTCCTAACTGATACTCTCCCAGGTCTTGCAGAAGACACCATCCCAAACTGACCCTCTCCCAGGCCTTCCAAGATACAGAACTCCTAACTGATACTCTCCCAGGTCTTGCAGAAGACACCACCCCAAACTGACCCTCTCCCAAGTCTTCTAAGATACAGAACTCCTAACTGATACTCTCCCAGGTCTTGCAGAAGACACCATCCCAAACTGACCCTCTCCCAGGCCTTCCAAGATACAGAACTCCTAACTGATACTCTCCCAGGTCTTGCAGAAGACACCACCCCAAACTGACCCTCTACCAAGTCTTCTAATATACAGAACTCCTAACTGATACTCTCCCAGGTCTTGCAGAAGACACCATCCCAAACTGACCCTCTCCCAGGCCTTCCAAGATACAGAACTCCTAACTGATCCTCTCCCAGGTCTTGCAGAAGACACCATCCCAAACTGACCCTCTCCCAAGTCTTCTAAGATACAGAACTCCTAACTGATACTCTCCCAGGTCTTGCAGAAGACACCATCCCAAACTGACCCTCTCCCAAGTCTTCTAAGATACAGAACTCCTAACTGATACTCTCCCAGGTCTTGAAGAAGACACCATCCCAAACTGACCCTCTCCCAGGCCTTCCAAGATACAGAACTCCTAACTGATCCTCTCCCAGGTCTTGCAGAAGACACCATCCCAAACTGACCCTCTCCCAGGCCTTCCAAGATACAGAACTCCTAACTGATCCTCTCCCAGGTCTTGCAGAAGACACCATCCCAAACTGACCCTCTCCCAAGTCTTCTAAGATACAGAACTCCTAACTGATACTCTCCCAGGTCTTGCAGAAGACACCACCCCAAACTGACCCTCTCCCAAGTCTTCTAAGATACAGAACTCCTAACTGATACTCTCCCAGGTCTTGCAGAAGACACCATCCCAAACTGACCCTCTCCCAGGCCTTCCAAGATACAGAACTCCTAACTGATCCTCTCCCAGGTCTTGCAGAAGACACCATCCCAAACTGCCCCTCTCCCAAGTCTTCTAAGATACAGAACTCCCAACCGATCCTCTCCCAGGTCTTCTAAGAAACAAAAATCTTAACTGATACTCTCTCACGTCTGCTAAGTTTCAGCATCCCAAACTGACCCTCTCCCAGGTCCTCCAAGATACAGAACTCCTAACTGCTACCTTCACAGGTTTTCCTAGTTACAGCATCCCAAACTGATCCTCTCCCAGGTCCTCCAAGATACAGAACTCCTAACTGCTACTCTCGCAGGTTTTCATAGTTACAGCATCCCAAACTGACCCTCTCCCAAGTCCACCCCGAGTCCTGCCCCAGTGTCCCTGTGACGGATCGCGGTCGAGCATGCGCGTGTAGGAGTTGGCGCCATCTAACATATGGTCGGTCTGCACTCTGAGGTTAATCTGGTTATTTATACGTTATTCACAGTGGTACAGTGCGCTTACCGGTCGCTCTACAATTGTACAATCACTTGATATTGTCAGAACTCCGCGCCGCCGAGCTGGGGAGTTATTGCCGCAGCTTTGGGGATTGTTTAAAAATTAATTGTCCCTGACATTTAATCCCGGAGACTTCCAGTTGCCCGTGCGTAGGATTCTGTAGATTTTATCGCGGTAAATCAATGGTCTCCGTGTAATGTATTGCGTTTCTACGAGGTTAACGTGGTTTATATACGGTGAGGTGTCGTAATACACGTTTTTTGAATTCATAAACGGTTGTCCTACGTTGTAGGTAAGGCATGCTGAAAGATTAAATAGCACACATAAGTTCATATTAACAAAATATCTACCAAATTAGCCAATCTAACAAATAATAGACTGCATTGCACCTTCAAGATTACAAACTTTATATTATCACAAGACAATTTTTTTAGTAGACTCTACCCGGCAATATTCACGTGGTTAAACCCTAAGCCCGAATTTACCCTACTCCACTACTTGAAATCCGGAACATACATAAAAAACTATACAACTTTGACAGCTTAAGTTACAAGAGTCTTCTTGCAGTATAATTTATGATGCAAGGAACATTGTACATGAGTGCAAGCAAACGCAAACTATGAAAGACCCTGTAGACTTTGTGTTTCAATAATATTTTAGCAGAGACTAGTACAGTTTTTTTCGCCATATCGAGCAAAATTATCTGAAAAAGAACCGAGACTTGATGTATTTGAATG